ACAAAGGAAAAGAACTCAGTAAGTGAACAAAGGAACATCTTCCACTTTCTTTTTAGGCTAAAAGGATTAGTGACACTGAAAGGATTAAGTGAGGATTAAGGTGCAAAGTCACCCTCACGATCATGATCATCCTGTTGTTCGTCAATTTCCAAGAGCAGGCACCAGTAATGTCTCCTTCTTCCTAGCCCTGAGATTTTAAAAGAGCCATTTCAATGCTCTTTCAGGATTAGGAGAATGAGACCCATCATTGTTACTGGTATAAAGCTGATAAAATTGTTCAAGAGGCCAGATGTGGCATTTGTGCTCTGGCCAAGCCTCACCACCAGGTCGAAGCTATTTAAAGATTTGAAAAAAAAAAAAGAGAGAGAGACCATATCATTTTGAGAAGCTGGCAGAAAGCATCATAATAATATGTTCCTAAGGGAAACAAATGCTAATAGGACCTGCAGTCTATACAAGCCCAGGTGTTATGTGGCTTTTTCATTTGTCACTTCAAATCATTCCTTATCTCTTGACTTTTTTTTGTTTTTTGGTGGTGGTGGCTGTGTTGATTTGGCCCCTGTGACAGTCGAAATTCTAGTATTTAAAATTTTTATAAGCAAAATAAGTTTCATTTAGGAATGACGCCACAGGAGAGAGTGGGCCAGAGATAGAATCAAAATAGAGACAGAGAGGAAAACCCCATGAAATTATGTACCCAGAGCTGGGATGCACACTGGCAACTTCAGAATTGTGTGTGCAGGCCTTTGACCTGGGAAGCTGGTCACAGAGGCCTTTTCCAGATGTGAAATTTTAGTTAAGATTTTTTTTTTAATTTTAAATGACAGGTGATTATAATTTTTGAATGATCTCTTATTTCAAAGGTCATCAAGAGTAATGTTTTCGCTTGAATCTGGAGACAGCAGGGGTTAAATTTTGGCTTCAAATCCTTGTGCAGTGGTTATTTAAGCAGGTTATTTCATCTTTGCATTTCATTCCTTTCCATTTTCCACAAAATGAGTTAGTCTTTAACTCATTAGTTAGCTACCAAAAGGTGCAAAGTGTTTTCTGTAAATAACCCTTTAGCCCCAGGCCAGTCCAGCTCATGTTACTTGGAGGCGGAGTCATCGCTCTTTCCTGGGATTGCTCACAGTAGCTCGAAGACCTGCCCAGTGGAGATCCACCCAGTGGAGGAGACCCACCCAGTGGAGACCCACCCAGTGGCCTATAGATGAGCTGGCCAGCTCAGTGTCCATGCACTGCTGCCAGGCTGCCCTCACAGAGTATCCAGGTGATCTGCTGCAGACTGACCACAGAGGAATTCAAGACCTTTACAACTGGCCACCCAGGTAAGCAGGGAAATGATGTGGGATGTGGGGAGGCAGAACTCTGAAGGGACACAGATTCTGGAGATTTCTGGCCCTGCAGAGACAGAGGTCTGCACCTGCAAAGGAAATGCAGCCTCTGTTTAGATTACTGGGAAAGACTTTCTGTTCGTTACGAATCCCAGTTTCTCCAGAGGCTTTGTTTCCTCATCACACAAATCCTTGCTAAATACAGATAGCAATTTGCAGCCTGACCTAGATCAGAAATAGTGGGGTTATGTGATGAGTGGGGGTGTTGAGTTGCAGATGGGGCACAGTGATTAGTACCTGCCATATGACAAATCACCTGAAGGGGCTGGTCTGAAGCCAGAAACTTCTTCTATAACTATATAAATATATTATATGTATATGCTATACACACACACACATCACACACATATATAGCACTGTAGCACTGTCCTCCCGTTGTTCGATTTGCTCTAGCTGGCACCAGTAACTTCTCCATTGTGAGACTTGTTACTGTTTTTGGCATATTGAATACACCACGGGGAGCTTGCCAGGCTTTGCCATGTGGGCGGGATACTTTCAGTAGTTTACTGGGCTCTCTGAGAAGGGTGCCCTACCTGCTGTGCTATCGCTCCAGCCATTTCTTAAAAATTTTTTTATTAGTGAAACACCATGAGGTACAGTTATAGACTTATAAATTTTTGTGCTTGGGTTTCAGTTATACAATGATCAAGTACCCATCCCTCCACCAGTGCCCATCCTCCACCACCACAGGTCCCAGCATCCCTTCCACCCCCCATCCCCCCCTCCCCCGGTCCTACCCTGCCTCTGTGGCAGGGCATTCCCCCTTGTTCTCTCTCTCTTCTTTTGGGTACTGTGTTTTGCAAGAGAGGCATTGAGTGACAATCATGTTTGGTCTATAGACTACTTTTAGCATGCTTCTCCCACCCTGGGAGGGTCCTCACAACACCCTTTATTTGGTGCTCTCTTCTCTATCTGAGCTTCCTTTTCCCCTAGCACATGTGGCTGGCCTTCAAGTCATGGAGCAAAATTTCTGGTACTAATCTCAGCCATTCCTGGGTGTTAGTCTCCCGTTTTGTTGCTTTATATTCCCCAGATGAATGCAATCTTTCTGTGTCTATCCCGCTCTTTCTGACTCATTTCACTTAACATGATACTTTCCATGTAGTACCACTTGTATGTAAATTTCATAACTTCATCTTTTCTAACAGCTACATAGTACTCCATTGTGTAAATGTACCAAAGTTTCTTTAACCAGTCATCTGTTCTCGGGCACTCAGTTTTTTTCCAGATTCTTGCTATTGTAAAGAGTGCTGCAATGAACAAACAATTGCAGATGTCACTTCGACTATACCTTCTTGCCTCTCTGGCATATATTCCCAGGAGTGCTATAGCTGGGTCAAATGGGAGATCAAATTCTAATTTTTTTGAGAATCATCCATACTGTTTTCCAAAAGGGTTGGACCAGCCGGAATTCCCACCAGCAGTGAAGGAGGGTCCCTTTCTCGTCACATCCGCGCCAGCACCAGTTGCTTTTGTTCTTGTGAATGTGGTCCAGTCTCTGTGGTATGAAATGATATCTCATTGTTGTTTTGATCTGCATCTCTCTGATGATTAGTGATGTAGAGCATTTTCTCATGTGCCTTTTTGACATTCGGATTTCTTCTTTGAGAAAGTTTCTGTTCATTTCGTCGCCCCATTTTTTGATGGGGTTGGGTGATTTCTTCTTGTGGAGTTCAACCAGTACCTTGTATATCCTTGATATCAACCCCTTGTCGGATGTGTATTTGGTGAATATCCTTTCCCATTCTGTAGGCTGTCTTTGTATTTTGGTCACTGTTTTTTTTGAGGTGCAGAAGCTTCTTAGTTTAAGATAGTCCCATTTGTCTATCTCTGTTTTCACTTGTTCGGCCAGTGGCGTGACATCTTTGAAGATACCATTAGCTTCAATATCATGGAGGGTTTTGCCAACTTTGTCTTCAATAAACGTTATGGATTCCTGTCTGATGTTAAGGTCATAAATCCATTTCGATCTTACTTTTGTGCATGACATTAGGCAGAGATCTGAGCCCACTTTTTTGCATGTAGCCATCCAGGTTTGCCAGCACAATTTATTAAAGAGGCTTTCCCTGTCCCATTTCACTTTTCTTGCCCCCTTATCGAAGATTAGATGATTATATGTTTAAAGGAGGACTAGAAAGCAAGTAGGGGGTTAAGGTACTTTTCTTATTATTTCCCATCCTTGATTTAATCCAAAGCATCACATCACATATTTTTCCTAAACCAACAGCCAGGAGTGATCCCTAAACACTAGTTTCCTACTTACGTACATACGACCCTTATAATGAGCATCAAGGTCCTACACCATTGTCCCAAAAAGTGATTGTTCACAATCAGAGTGAGCTGGACCTCCATATTATGCATTCATTCCTCATAAACTCTGACATCAGTCCTCCTCCCTGACTTTCCAGGCTCTTGTTTGGGGGAAACTTTTTATAACTGTCTCAGCATGAATTGCTTGATAGTAGAAGTTCTATTAGAATGTCCACATCCACTTGACTTAGTCTGGTGAGGATAAGAATAGAAATATATCCATTTCTTTTAGATTCTTTAGTTCAGTGAATTAAAGTTGTTTATAATAATCTCATTTGATATTTCCAAAGGTGTCTGTTATAACTTCTTTCATTTTTGATCATTTCTGATGGATCTGTTTTCTTTGTGAGAAAAAGACCCCTTTTTAGAAAAGGGCTCGACGATCCCTTTTTTGTTTTTGTTTGGTCACCACATCTGGCTGTGCTCAAGGCTTGCTCCTAACCCTTTGCTCAGGGATCACAATTTGTGGCACACTGTATGGAATGTGGGGACTGGGGGGAGTGGGGGCGGGCAGGGACCAGAGGGGAAGAACCTGAGAAATCCTATACTATGATAATTGATGTTTTAATATTTTAGTCACAATCACTGTCACTGTCCTCCCATTCATCAATTTGCTCAAGCGGGCCCAGTAATGTTTCCATCGTGAGACTTGTTGTTACTGTGTTTGGCATATTGAATACGTCATGGGTAGCTTGCCAGGCTTTGCCGTATGGGTGAGATACTCTTGGTAGCTTGCCAGGCTCTCCAAGAGGGGTGGAGGAGTCACAATATAATAATGTAATCATAAATATGAAAAGTATTAATGTTATATTACATGTGCTTAATTTTTGTGTCAGAATTATGTATAAATTGGGATCAGGAAACTGTATATATTTTATTACTGACATACATGCTATTTATCGCCTTTTTTTTTTCTCCTTGATAGTTTCTGTTGAAGTGATCAGATCGTCTGTGGCCATCACCCTGAATCTCGTCTGAAGTGATCAGACCGCCTCACTTGTTGATCTCATAGCTGTTTCCTATCAAGGAGAATTAACTGGTCAAGATAATTTGAGCAACAGGAATCCGGAGACTGTGGTCAGTGATTACCTGGACCTGATTACACTTAGCATCTGCTTCAGTGGCTGAAGAAAAGGAAGCAGAAATAAGCTTGTGACCTTAGAGCTTGGGAACCTGGAAAGATTTCAGGTCCCCAAGAGTGAAAGTTAAGGAAGTGTCTGTTTCTCAACCTTCAGAGTGACTGGAAAACCAGGACTTTCTGAACGGCATTTCCTCAGACAAACCCCACCCACAGCAATGGCCTTTGCATCCTCCCTAACTGAGCTCCCGAAACAGGCCACTTGCCCCCTCTGCTTGGATTACCTGAGAGATGCAGTCACCCTTGACTGTGGGCACAACTTCTGTGACTCTTGTATCCAAGAGCGTTGGGATCATCTACAGGACGTCTTCCTTTGTCCAGTCTGCTTTCACCACTGCCCTGGTGGAAACACCAAAAGGAATGCCCAATTGTCTCACATTATTGATGCCAGTAAGCAGCTTCCCAATGGAAGTAGTAAGAGGAAACAGCAGGAAGAGGAACCCATCTGCGAGAAGCACAATGAAGTCTTAGACCTGTTCTGTGAGGAGGACTCTGAGCTATTGTGTCCCCAGTGCAGGACCTCTTCTGACCATCAGGGTCACCACCTGATGCCCACTGGGAGAGCCATAGTGCATCAAAGAAAGAAGCTCAAAACGTATGTGGAACTTCTGAAGAAACAGATCTCCGATGCGGAAATGGCATATGAAAATCAACTTTCAGAATGTACAGATGCAAGGTTTAAGATAGAAAATCGCAAGGGAGAATTACGCCATGAACTTGAGAAATTTAAGTATATCTTGAAAAAGGAGGAGATTGCAATGGCCGCCGCTTTGCTTACTTCAGAGGTCATTATGGAAGATAAGCTAACTCAAAACAAAAGTTGTATTTCAAACCATATGAAAACCCTGAAAAATCGTCTGTATGAAATAACAAAGAAGTGTTTGCAGGCCGACCAGAAATTTTTAAGAAGCATTAAAAGTACTGAGAGTGAGTATGCAGACCTGCCATCCTCGAGGGTCTTGACATGTGAGATCGAGAGAGACAGTTTCATTCTCCCTCCTCATTATTTTGGTCTACAGAAAATGGTCAGCACTTTTCAGGAAAATTTGACACTAGACGTTGAAACTGCCCATCCAAAACTTATTATTTCCAATGACAGAAAAAGGGTAGCATTTGGAATAAGACCAACAAACATTGTAGACAATTTTCAGAACAGGATTCCTTTCCCAGCTGTGCTGTGTTGTGAGTACTTTAATGAAGGCAGACATTTTTGGCAGGTAGAAGTCAAAGGTACTGGTGAATTTTCCCTAGGAGTGTGTAAAGAAATCTTCCGTGAAAGTATTCCGATGTCATCAATCTCTGACAATGACTTCTGGCAGTTTAATCAGACCTTGAGGCCCATCTGGAATACTAGGGACATTGAACAAGGAGAACAAAGTAGAAGATTTGGTGTGTTTCTGGATTATGAATTGGGAGAACTTTCCTTTTATAATTTGAAGAGCAAGTTGTTCTTGCGTAAGATTACTGGTACATTCCCAGAAAGAGTGATACCATTTTTTTCGTTTGGATCTTCCTCAGATTCTCTTATGATCAGTATAGTTACGGAGCAATGATGTGCTTATTAGAAGATGGTTTGGTATTTTTCCCCCCTGTTGTTGAAAGAAACACTGTAAATAAAGTTTTGGATTCTATGTTTGATGACTCAAGTGCAGTTTCATTTTTTCTTTCTCTTTAGTCCCTACATTAAAAAAAAAAGATAGGATGGTACTATCAAGGGAAACTCTCAAGCCAAGCAATTCCTAGTTATGCTAGAATCTCTACAGTTCACCAGCCGGTAACCCCGAGAAACACTTTAAATACTCTTTGTTAATATATTCACTCAGTAAGTGCAGTACAGGGGTCCTTGTACAGTAACGGAGAAACTCAACTTCTGTTGGTGATCATGAAATATATTCATATGTCAAATTATAAGATGGTATGCCTAAAACACATTTTATAGACTAATATTATGTCAATAAATGTTTTTTAATCACCTGGAAAAAATACATGTTTGCTCAGCCCCCAAACTCTTATTACCTTGCTAGTTTCCACTTAAGGCCTCATTGTATAATAAAACTTTTCATGATCTAATCATGTGTATGTGGCATCATCATATGACTTAACCTGGCTTTGTTGCATGCAAAGCTGGTGAGCACTGCAGCTGCGCTTTGTGCTGCCTTTGTTGACCTCTGCCAATTCTAAATAATTACCCTAGCCCTTTGAGTTATCTCCTCCACCTGGTAGTTCAAAGCTATGACTAAAATTGTGTCTTGGTCTCTTTCTTAACGTGGCTACAACTTGGTAGAGCACTGGCCTTACCCAGGTGAGGCTATTGATTAGAAGCCTGGTGCTGCAAAAATAAAAATAAATTATGAACTTAAGAGAAGGGCCAGAGATGCCATTGCATGACCCTGAATTTGATTCCAGCAGTTCATGTTCTGAGTTCCAAACTGGAAATAGCTCCCGAGCATTTCCAGGGGCTCCCATGCCCTAGGTCCCAAAACAAATGTGTCTCCATCATATGTGTCTTATTAAACACCTACCATAAGCTTTCAGGCTGGAATGATTGAACAGTGGGTAGGGCATTTGCCTTTCAAACGGCTGATCTGGGTTTGATTCCTCTGTCTCTCTCAGAGAGCCCAGCAAGCTACCGAGAATATCTGCCCGCATGGCAGAGCCTGGCAAGCTCCCCGTGGTGTATTCAATATACCAAAAACAGTAACAACAGGTCTCACAATGGAGATGTTACTGGTGCTCGCTCAAGCAAATTGATGAACAATGGAAGGACAGTGCTACAGTGCTACAGTGCTATATGCTTTCAAATGAATTGTTCAGTAGGACCAGATTCTAAGCAGTAACTAGTTGTGTGCCTCCGCTCAACATTGGTGCTGTTCTGCAGAGAGCTTACGGGGAAAGACATCTGTGCCATATTCATTCCACTCCTATGAAAAAGAGAATAGTTTGGGTAAAATAACCATCATTATATGAAGATTTGAAATTTTGTATCTATAAACTCCAGTAAAGGTAAAGGCCCTCCCGTTGATCATCGATTTGCTCGAGCGGGCCCAGTAACGTCTCCATTGGGGACTTTGTTGTTACTGTGTTTGGGATATCGAATACGTCACGGGGAGCTTGCCAGTAAAAGGCCTGTTTACACTCTACCACTGCCTAACTCTATCAGTAGAAAGATTCTGATCCCCAGGGTAATAGGGGGAAAAAAATCCCAAAGCATCTGTGTGTCACAGGGAAGGGATTAATTCCCAAAAGACTTAACTGCAGAATCTTAAACTCTGTAAAGAACCATGAGGGGGACTCAAAGTTTAATGGTTTAATTTTAGGTTCCCTAGTGAATTTATAACTGTGAGCAGAGATGAACCATTCTTTGAAGTAAAACCAGATTTTCAAGTTGGTGGAAGGAAGGAAAGGAAGGAGGGCAAAAGTGATCAGCTTGAATTCAATGGAGGAAAGTAAAAACCAGAGAATAATCCCATAATTTGGTATATTAAAAAAAGTATAACTCTAAAACCATTTTTACAAATATTTTTTGCAGCAAAGAAAAATTGATATTTGCCTTTCGAGCCTCTACAATTAAGAAAGTTAAAATTTCTGCATTTGCTAAAACTCCATCTACTGTAATCACATGAATTTAAAGAAATTAGCTAAGTTAAATTCTGCTTTATAATCTTGCTATATATTACTGATCATAAATTATTATTCCAGGAGATATTTGCATCCATCAGAACTATTCCATTGTCTACGGTGCCCTAAAATATTTCTGAGAAGGAATGGTCTCTTGATAAGATGAATAAAATATGAAAATTAAGTGAATTCCTTTCCATTTGCAAATGATTTGCACTTGGTACCCCATAAATAATTGCACCCCCAGTTAAATAGTGTTTCTGAATATATGCTCCTCAGCTAATATCAAGGGGCAGAGAAATAGCACAGGATGTGTGTAGTTGCCACATTTGATCCGGCTACTATATATGTTCCCTTGAACACCTTCAGAAGTAATCCCTGAGCACCCACCCAGAAAAAAAAGCCCCCAGGATAGCTGGATGTGGCTCTGAAACCCCAAAATCAAACCACAAACAATCCATTTTTGTAAGGTATCTTAGGAATGATGCTCCAAACTGCTTCACTAACTTCAGTGTGGCTTATTCTAGAACTCAAAAACATTGAAGAGTATTTCTAACAGTGAGTTAATCCTGTTGCCTGGCCATATTACATGACTGCCTTTTAACAACTGGTGAATAACCAGCTATCCCCTATTTGGCTACTGTATCCTCACAGTTTCCCAGACTTAGATGGCCTTGGGGGTTACCTGAACAACCTTACCTTGGCATGTGACGTTCAGAAAATCTCTCAACCACATCCATACTTTGCCAGAAACACTGATAGGGTTTGCATTGATGATTTCCAATTCCGGATAAATCCAATTTGGAGCATTCCTTTGGGATCTAATTCACTTCAAAGGAGTTCGTAGCACTGTCCTCCCTGATTGACTTGCTGGAGCGGGCCCAGTAACATCTCCATTGTGAGACTTGTTGTTACTGTGTTTTGGCATATCGAATACTTGCCAGGCTTTGCCTCGCAGGCGAGATACTCTCATAGCTTGCCGGGCTCTCCGAGAGGGGTGGAGGAATCGAACCGGCTCGATTTGGCTGGCTGGCTGGCTCTGTGAAAGGCTGCGTGAAAGGCCCTACCGCTGTGCTATGGCTCCAACCCAAAGGAGTTTGTAAGGGAAAGAAATCAATCACCCCCCCCCCCCACACACACACACTGAACGCCCTAATTACCTGGTTGAAATCTCCAACATCGATTTGGTAAACTGAGGACTCCTCTAAACGCAGCCACTGTAGCACTGTCGTCCCGGTTGTGCATCGATTTGCTCTCAGGCAGTGGAAATAATTATTATTCTACGCGTTATTATGCATGATATTATTATGCATATTATTATGCATATTATCTATGCCTAATAATTATTCTATGCGTTATTTCATAGTGCCCATAATTCAATAAATAAATAAAACTAAATAAATAATACTTTAAAAATAGAAGAAGAAGAAAAGGGATCAGGGCGGCTTCCTTGGCAGTGGGGGGGTGGGCGCAGGAGGGTGGCGGAGGGGGGGGGGTCTTGGAGGGGGATGGGGAGGGAAGAAGCCGCGGTGGGTGGCCAGTCAGTCGCGCGGTGGGCGGCGGCGGCGGCGTCTGCTCCGGGCCATCCATCGGGGGTGGGGGGGTCACCAAGATCATTGTGTCGTGACAACGACGGGGGTCCCCCCTCTCCGCGACGGCAAGTGGCGCCGCGTTAGCCCCCGCCGCCGAAGGGCTCCGCGGCTGCCTGGCCAAGCCCAGCCCTTGCCTTCCTGGACGCAGCACCCACGAGCGACGCTCAGCCGAGCCGGGTGGGTGGGTGGGTGGGTGCGGAGGACCATGGCCGCCTCGACGGCCTCGCACCGGCCCATCAAGGGGATCCTGAAGAACAAGAGCTCCACGACGTCCACGGTGGTGGGCGCGGCCGAGCAGCCCGACGACCCCCGGAGCGTCCCGGAAGAGCTGAGCAACACCCCCCGGGAGGCGAGGACCCTGCTGGCGCCCTACCACGCCGCCGCCGCCGCCGCGGACAAGGACTACGGTTTGGTGGACATCGCCCCGCCCTGCAGCCCCCACAACCGTCGGGCCGGCCGCGACGAGGACGCGGCCAGCGACTCGGAGACCAGCGACGCGGGCACCCCGGCGCTCCTGGCCAAGAAACTGGCCGCGGCCAAGGGCTCCGAGATCAAGTTTCGAGTCCACGACCTGGAGAGCAGCGGCGACGAGGATAACGACCTGTCCCCCGAGGAGCGTGAGAAAAAGCGGCAGTTCGAGATTAAGAGGAAGCTGCACTACAACGAAGGCCTGAATATCAAGTTAGCCCGAGAACTCATTTCCAAAGATCTGAACGAGGAGGAGTGGGAGGAAGAGGATGAGGAGGGGGAGGAGGAGGAGGCGCAGGCGGCGGCGGCGGCGGCGGCGGCGGCGCCGCGGGGGCCAGGGGGACCAGTGATAGCGCAGACATCCCGAGGAAAGGTGTGCCCCGAAGAAGAATCGAGTCAAGGATATACCAGCGACCAGCTGAAACCCAAAGCGCAAAGTTCCTAGAAGAAATTTGTTCCACCCTGTGATTGTTTGTCCGTATATGAACCATCGTCTTTCTTGAATACACTACTTCTTTCCACAATTCGTGATTCACGTACCAAAATGCATTATTGTTTTGCATAATAATTATTCTATGCGTTATTTCATAGTGCCCATAATTAAATAAGCTTTAGAGATGAATAAGACTGAACATGCCTAATTGGTACTTATATTTTTGTGTCTGGTAAATACTTATATGTTTATTTATTTATTTATTTTTTAACCACAAAAGCGACAAAATGTCATCAGTCTAAAACCACATTACTTTTGGAAGGCTAATATGTATAAGATGGAGCTTTGCTTACGTTTAGAGTTGAATGATATCTTTGACCGGGGAGAAATCTAATTTTTTCACTCCTAGATATGATAGCTCTTGGAAAATAGTTTTTAATCAAAATTTAATTGAACTGGCACTTTATATAGGCTAATAAGTTTGGGGACTGTAAAGTATTTTAACGCGATGTAGCTTCAACCTGTTTAATTGGAAAAAAATACATAATTAGAAAAAAATTACTGCCTATTTTGGTCTCTACCTTTAAATTTCTGTTGTTACTCTGTTTAAAAGGAAAGATTTGACTTTTTGCTTTCACCAAAACTAACCTTCTCCACAAATATATAGTCAGGTTAAACTTGCACCAATGTCTAATCCAACTTTTTTGTATACTCAATAGATAGACCAGATAAGTTTTAAAATAAATATAATTCTAACATAATCTTGACACTCCCTTTATGTACCATGCTTAGATGCCTGCCTTTATTAACTGCCTTTATTTGTACAAACAATCCTTTACTTTTATAAACGTTCAGAAAGATAGCCGTGACTTTAAGAACTCTTTCTTCTCTTTCATGTTTTATCATTTGTTTCAATGATGAAGGTCTTACTGTGCTATTCTTCTAATCCAGGGAGGGATTTGTAGCATTACTCTAGACAAGTCAGCTGCAGAAAAGCTACACCCCTCTGATTTACAGCTTGCTAATAAAATGCTGTTACTATTTTTTTTTTTAAATTATGTCTCAGAAACCACTTACAGAGAGACTGTTTTGCTCTTTTCTTTTTCTTTCTTTCCTTTTTTTGGGGGGAGGGGCGGGGAGAGTCGCACCCAGCAATGCTCAGGGGTTACTCCTGTCTCTGCACACAGGAATCACCTCTGGTGGCGCTCAGGGGACCATATGGGATGCCGAAGATCGAACCCCAGTTGACAGTGTGCAGGGCAAACACCCTACCTGCTGTGCTATGGCTCCTCCCCCACTTTTTTTTTTCAAAATGAAAAAATTATGTAACCAGTGATAGTATGATAGTTCCTGAATGTACAGAAAGGGTTAGTCCTAAACATTTTTATTACAAAAATTCAGCCCCTAGGGTCCAGAACAAAAGTATAGCCGGTAGGGCACTTGCCCTTGCCTTACACACAGTCAGTCTGGGTTTGTTCCCCCAATCACCACCGGGAGTAATTCCTGAGTGCAAGCCAAGAGTGAACCGTGAGCATTGCCGGGTATGGCCCAAATGCCAAATAGGTAATTAAATAAAAATTTACTTCCCACTTTAATGAAATATTAAAATGTATACTATGACCAGTGCACTTTTTTTTCTAATAGTGAGGTTTGAATTTTCCCCCTAAAATGAAGTACAGTTCCTGTGTAACTGGTTTAGTTGGTAGTTCCATTTCTATTTAGTTATCTGGGGTTTTTTTTTGGTTTTATTAAAATATTTTTGTTTTGTTTTGGGTCACACCAGGTGATGCTCAGGAGTTACACCTGGCTCTGCACTCAATATTACTACTGGAGATGCTCGGAGGGAACTTATGGGATGCCAGGGATCCAACCTGGGTGGGCCAAATGCAAGTCAAATGTCCTACTTGCTCTACTATTGCTCCAGCCCTATATTCAGTTATCTGTAACCTAATTTTTGTTAGTAGCAAAGAATCCATTATATGATCAGACTTTTAGAATAAATTTTGTATATTATATTTAAAAATAATAAAATTATATTTGGGGCTGGAGCGATAGTACAGCGGTAGGGCGTTTGCCTTGCGTGCAGCCAGCCCGGCGGAGCCGGGTTCGATTCCTCCGCCCCTCTTAGAGAGTCTGGCAAGCTACTGAGAGTATCTCGTCCGCACAGCAAAGCTTGGCAAGAAATCCATGACGTATTCAATATGCCAAACACAGTAACAAAAATGGAGACATTACTGGGCTCGCTCGAGCAAATCGATGAACAACGGGAGGACAGTTTGTTTTTGTTTTGTTTGTGATATTATATTTATGAAATAGGTTTTACAGAATAGTGTGTCTTCAATTGCAAGGAAATATTATATCAAACACAAACTTCTGAAAAATGTTGTCACTGTTGTTGTTGTCACTGTCCTCCCATTGTTCATTGATTTGCTCGAGCGGGCCCAGTAATGTCTCCATCATGAGACTTTGTTGTTACTGTGTTTGGCATATCATCACGGGTAGCTTGCCAGGCTTTGCCGTGAATATTTTGAATGTCTTTCTTCAAAAAATGGGAACCAAAGTACTAATAAAACATAGACCATAGTGTTCTAACCAAAACATATTAGCTAGTAATACCATTGATTTGATATACAAAAAAAATTTATCTCTACCTTTTGAATTTAGAAAGTTGAGGCCTGATTACCTCCTTGAACCTGTCTGCGATAATTTTGTGGAGCATGGTGATGGGCACTGGAGCAGATAAGACCAGACCTTGCAAAGTGGCCCTGAAGTGAACCCTTGAAAGAGGGAGTACCTGGGCAAAGTTGGCAAGAACAGGGTGTCAGCACCAGGTGTCCGGACTTGAGTCTCACTTGACTTGCTACTCACATGCTCCTAAGACAGAATCTGTCACATATGCTTAGCAGGTTATCTTAACTGCAGCATCTAATCTTGATTGGGATTGGACTAAGGCAAGGCAGAGTAGGAGAGCTAGCAGGCCAGTGATGCTAAACTTTATGTGATTTGACCTTCCTTTAGACTGAGACCCTCTATAAAAGATGCAGCCATCAGCTGCTCCCAGGGGGGTGTTCCTCCTTTGCCCCACGTCTGCCCGGACCTGGTATGCAACGTGTCCGGGCACCCTGGAGAAAACCTGTTCTGAAAAATTTAAAAATGTTAGTGTGTGTGTGTGTGTGTGTGTGTGTGTGTGTGTGTGTGTGTGTGTTTGTGTGCAGATCAGTTTTGGGGTTTCTCATTTTTAGTTTCTATGGAATATTCACAGACAAGTATTTTTTATTTGTAGAATAGTTGTTGTACCATTAAGTATCCTCTAGCAACAGATTATTCTTTTGGTGCTTTCTACAAATATTTCATGAAACTTGAGCCATAGGTGAAGTCTCTGGGTTTAAGAGGGTAGATGGTTAACTCAGCAAGAACACATGGCAAATAACACATTCAGTAGGATTTTAGGTAGCAGATGTAACTAAATAAAGCTGTTTGTAGATCTCAAAAGTAGAGCATATAAAACCTTACCTTGAATGTACTCTTTTATTCCCAGCTCTACTAAAAACAAAAATCAATTTTTCATCATATCATGAGTTCCTAGTTTGAGAATGGTGTTGAGCTACATAAATAATCTTTCTGGTCCAAGATAAACATTCCTTTGGAGAAAATTATCTTTCAGTGTTCAAGCCTAGTCAAGATAAATTTTACTTTCAACGTATCAATCTATCACTTTCTCTGTTTTAACTCTTGATGTCATATTTTCTATTTATTCAGTTTTTATTCTGAAATTCAATAATGAACTTTAAAATATGAGACAGATTATTACAAATGTGTTGTTAAAATAAGCACAAGCTGGGATGGAATGATAGCATAGTGGATAGGGCGTTTGCCTTGTACGCGGCTGACCCAGGTTCAATTCCCAGCATTCCATATGGTACCCCGAGCACTGCCAGGAGTAATTCCTGAGTGTAAAGCCAGGAGTAACCCCTGTGCATCGCCAGGTGTGACTCCCCCCAAAAAAAATAAATAAAATAAGTACAAGTTCAACTGCCATTTCCCCCTAAACTTTCATTTTTGTTTACGATATTTCCCTTTAAGTCAGTACACGAAATGCATTGTAATTAAATACAGTACTCTGACAATTTTTTTTTATAAAGGAAAAACAAATAGTGCACTGAACCAGGGAGATATAGTATAGAGATTAGGACACATGACTTGAATTATGTTTGATTGACAACACATGACCTTCCAAGCACCAGGCATTGTTGTTTATGAACATGTAGACAATCAATTTAGAAGACCCCAACCCCAGAAAATGAAATATCTTTTGCGGAATTGGAAAGATAGCTCAAAGGACTGGAGTATATATTGTGTATGGTGGAGGCCTGGATTCAATTCTAAACACTGCATGATCCCCTGAGTACTGAACCACGTTCAGCTCCTGGGAATTTCTGGGTGTGCTCTCCTCTAGCAACCTACTGACTTGTAACATGAAAATTACTCAATATTTTATAAAATTTCCGGTTATTTTTTGTGGGGAGCTCAAGGGAGAATTTGGGATACAACCAGAGGTTCTCAGTGCTTACTCCTGGTTCAGTGCTCATTCCTGGTGGTATTCAGGAGATCATATGTGGTATTGGGGATGGAACTGTGGTTGGAAGCTTGAAAGCAATCAATGGCTTTAACCTCTTAACCTCTTAACACCTTAGCCAAGGTGTTTCTTATCCACCAGACTATCCACCCTGGCGCTGAAATCCTGCACGATTACTGGAACGCCCCCTAGTGGATTGAGCCCAGCACTGAGTTCTTTCCACCTCGCTCACTCAGCTCTTCCCTTCTCTTTGAATCTTGGTATCTGTTTACTAAATTCACTGGTATTTGACATTAATTAAAAAATCTGATGTTTTCTTTTTCGGGGGCGGAAGTTTTGGGGAGTTGATTATAGTTCTTCCATCTCCCCGAGAAGGACAGTGTGTTGTCTTTGTTGAAACTAGGCACATTGTTTTAGACCTTCAGTGCTGTCTCCA